TTAGCTATGGATGGAGTCCGAGTGGCAACCCAGTGTCAAAGAGCGGTGAGCAATGAGGAGAGCATGCAGTAGAGAGGGAGTGGCTGCAGGAGGCGCTTCGACTCTTCAGTTAGAGGGCGCTAATGAGCCGCTAACAGAACAGAGCTGCTGTAGACGTGATGACTGCTGATGGACACTTTCACCCAGGCCTAACGAGCAAATTGGAGCAGAGCGCTGATTACAGGGGCCGGGGGAGCGGGGGGGGGGCTGTTTCCTGTCTTGATCTTTAAATAAACAAAATCCATCTGGATCACGGCTGCCTGTTCACTGTTACATAAGTCAGGCGAAGAAGAAGACGGAGAAGAAGAAGACGGAGAAGACGGAGAAGAAGAAGAAGCGACTGCAAAAAACAATTTTATCTTGAAGGAGAAGAAGAAGGAGAAGAAGAAGCGACCGCAAAAAAACATTTTATCTCTCAATCTGTCTTGAATTATGCAACAAATTAATCACTCTGCACCATTGCCTAACCCTGCGTGTGTTCACACGCTGTGGGATGGCGGTGGTGAGGGTTGGTAGTGCACTCATCCCTGAGGCTGAGAGGTTTTTACCACATCATTTGTAAATTGGTTGGTTGGAGGTTTTTCTTTTTTTTAATCAAAAAACACCATTTATGGATGAGAAGGTGGAGTCTGGACAGGAATGGGAGCTGGACCAGGACCACCATGTCAGCGTGCGTGACATCAGCTGGGAACCCCGACTTAACCACGCCTTTTAGCAGTTGGCACGCTGTCAAGCTAGCCGCGGCTGTCAACTGTTCTTGAGGTGTGTTATGGTTGTAAAAGTTGTAATCCTTAGTCACACCCAAGAGGAGACAACAACGCCCCCCACAGGTCAGGTGATCCCTGATGGGCCAAGATGGCTGTCGTTGTATTAACTGTAAATTCTGGTTCTGGAAGCGTGTTACTAATACAACAGGAGGAACGCAGCGTGGGATCTTTTCAACGAAACGAACGCACATCAGGAGATGTGGTTAAAAAAGAGGAACTAACTTTTAATAAAGTTTCATTTCAAACTTCTCATTCAAAGTATTTATGTTGTCTGTCCATTTTTACCAGTAGTTTTTAAGAAATTCCCGCCCTTGAAAATGTCCAAACCAAATTACTTTTGTAGCTTCAAGTATTTTTCTATTTTTTCCTATGAACACTAAAAAAGAGTAAGAGAGTTCTTTGGACAGAGTCTCACCTGGCCTTCAGCTCCTTGTGGTCGTCTCTGACTTTGCCCAGCTCCAGCTGTAGACGAGCTCTCTCCTTGGCCACAGAGTCCAGAGTCTGACGGGCATCGGCCAGCTCCGTCTCGTAGGCGGCCTTCAGGCCCGTCAGCTCTCGGCTGACTTCCGTCTCAGACTCGGTGATGCGCACACGCAGCCCGGCATTCTCCGCCTCCAGATACCGAACCTTGTCGATGTAGACGGCCAGGCGGTCGTTGAGGTTGCAGAGGTCCTCCTTCTCCTGGAGCCGGGTGATACGGTTGGGGGACATTGGTGTGCTGGCACCTCGAGGAGTGTTTTTGGGTGTCGCCATTGTACCGATCGGTCACTGTGGTAGACACAGAGATGGGAAACGCTTTTCAATAAAAAAATACATCACTGAACTTCAATAAACCAATGAATGACTTACTCTGTTGTTCTCAACACTGAGACAAAAGAAAACTACACTGCAACGTCAGCGCAGGCATTACGAGGTTAAGAGAGCAAATCCGAGGACAACAGTATCACTGATAGACATGGGTGTGGTCCTCGACTCCACCCAAAAGTGACAGTACCGTCAACACAGCAGAAAATGACTTTTTGTTGGGTTTTACCTGGTGAGAGCTGCTGGAACTGAGCGAGAACTCCACTTGTAGAAAAGTTGCTGGTTGGATTTTCTTTGTTCTCCCAAGTTGTGTCTTGGTTCTCCAGCGGTGTTCAGTCTCTTACTGCACTGTCTGCAAACTCATCAGTGAGTGCCATGTAGGAAAGAATGAGATGGGAGGAGGAGAGGCAAAGAGGCTGGCCTCAAGTTTGGCAGGGAAGGTGGGTGGTTGCTACTCTTCCTCCCTCTCTCTCTCTTTGGCTTGGTGATTTCTGGATAAATGAGTCACACGCTCTACTCAAACAAACACACAATTCTTTGTGACTCATACAAGGGATGATTTTAATAACAGACGTCGGCAGGGAGTTGGATTAAAGTCTTTTGGTGAATTTGACTGTCTGCCCCGCCCCCTTGTTCTCCATTAACCCATAAGAGTGTCAAACTCTGACCAAACATCAGTCTAAAATGCCACATACATAATGTGTTAGGAGTTCCTAGTGATCTATTTTTATTTTGTTACTAAGTCATTAAAGAGATACTTTGTAACTCGATGCTTCATACGGTGGTGCAGTGGAAGGGAAAAGGAATCAGAACAACACGTGTTACTTGTGTCAGAAATGTGAGCTGAGGAAAAGAGGAATGATGGCACGGCTACAGATGGCAGAAGTATGCTATGTAACTGGGAGGACGAAATGACCGACAGATGGCAGTAGTGCAACACAAGCACGAAGTTAAGCAGAAATGAAGCCTGAAGACACCTTTTTTAGTAAAATGAACTTCAAGAGAAACTTTTTTTTAGAAAAAAAACCCCTTTATTTCTTTGTTAAATGTATATAAAATATAAAACATTAAATACTATGGCTTCGTTTATTCTTCCTCTACGTTATTTCGCCCATTTTGTTTCAATAAATCCTTACACAAAATGTACATTATGTCCACCTGATTAAAAAATGCCAAAAATTAAATAAACATTTTTAAACAGCTGTGGAAAAAATACCTATATTTACTAAGTACACCACATTATTACTTCCTTAGCAATTAAAGCTACACGGCTCCACTTCCGGGATGTCGCTTTTGGCGAGTATCATTTAAATTAAGTTTTAATATTGGAATATAATTTAAATGTCAACATCGTCATGGATAATAGTATGACGTACCTCGACAAAACGAAGCACAAAATAACGAATGTTTGATGAAAATACATTTATCTTTATCTTTTACAAAAAAAAAACCCAAAAAACACGAGAAGCCCGTTTTGGAAATCATGTGCCTTTTCTACTTAAACACAGTGCTCTGCTGAGGTACGGCCCAAAACACGTCCTGGCTCTTCAGCTTCTATTTGATAAGACTATATTACTTTTCGTTTCGTGTCGTGTCAGTATTCCATCGAAAAACGGTAATAAATGTCGAATGTTGGATTAAAAACCGTAAATCATCATTAGCAGCGCACATCAGCCCTGCGGAGTAGCAGCGGCAGTTCAGTCAGTGAGCCTCGGATTGTCATGTGGTTTGTGGGAAAACCCGGATTGGATCACAGTGGTCACCTGGGCAGAGAACATGAAAAAGGTGCCATTAAGACGCTGTAGAAGTCGACAAACAGTACACAATCAAACCACACTCAGTAATAAACACATTCATTATGTATTTATATTAAGTTAATCGTTATATATCGCGGAATTACGCCTATTCGTTATCTTTCAAAAGAAACGGAAATATATATATATATAAATGATTATTTGACATCCCCCGGTCACATGAATGCCTCATCACAGTGATAGCTGTTAAAAATGAATAAATTAGCACCTACGGTTTAAAAAACGGCATTTAAAGCATAAAAAGCGATTTTTAAAAAGATAGTCCACTCCGTATCTTATCGGGCGCAGGCCTGAGCCGTTGCTTTTGCGCGGATAAACAGCAGCTGTGAGCCGCCGACTGACGACGAGGAAACCCGAGGTTTAACCGGATTTCAAGGTCTCTATTTAAAAAGAAAACATACTACATCCTGAAATACATGTATGAATGCATTAAAAAATTATTTGACTGAGATCGGAACGGCGTCGCGGGCGAAACAGCAGCTATAATCCCAGGACTGCTTTTCCTGCTTGGTGCTGTTTTCTGCACATACGCGGACGGATCTGTGCCGCTGTCCCTCCGTTGCCGTCACGGCCTCCATTTTGAGCTTCTTCTTCGTCCGCTCACCGCCTCACGTGTCCTGGACTGTCTTTCTCACATGACCCGTGTGTTTGTCCCCGTGATCAGCGCTTCCATCTCCGTAAATCAGTGTCGTTGAATATCGGCAGCTTCATGGATATGCTGGAGCAGAGTCTGGACAGCTCGGCGAGGTGAGAGAGAGGGACACTGAGCGACCTTTCGGGCGTCTTCCTGCCCGGTCATGGCTCCCTTGTCCCGGCCAGGCAGCAGCTCCACGGCCTAAAACCTCCCTCCTTATCCTCAATATTATGTTTACATCCTAAGTGTTTATTAATAATGGCACCATTTAGGCTCCTGGCTGCTGTTGGTAAAGCTACACTGCTAATGGTAAAACATAATTCAAACCATATTATTGCACAAAATAGAAGCTATATGAATTATACACTTTTGTTTTGTTGGATCTATAAAACAGCTACAGTAACACAGTGCACATCGTGGGACTAGTGTCCTATGTTTAACATGTGGAGGCAATTTCTTGGACAATATAAATGTTAACTTAAGTAAAACAACAACAAAATTTATTTATTGCTTTTATTGTTTAATCGATTTACTTTTAATTAAATACATTAAACTTTTTTTTAGTCGTTTGTAATCTTTCAAAACTGTTATTTTTTTTTCCCATAAACGGGGAGAAAAACACGATCTCTTGTCACGCCTGCACGTCAATAGCTTAAATTATTTATATCTTCATACCACGTGTCACCGCATGGGGGCGTTAATGACCCACAACTGATAGTGTGGACAGTGTTACAGTTAATCCTCGGTTTAAACAGATGAGGGTTTTTTTGTTTGTTTTTTAACTTACTACTGACTCAGTGTTTTCTCTTTGATTTACAGTCACGAAAAACAGGAACCAGAGGAGGTGGTACAGTTACAGGAAGGTAAGAGATGGAAATGGGAGGAAAAAAAATCCAACCCAATCTGATTCTTTTGTATGAAACACGTGGTGTAAAAGTGTGTCGGTGTGTGCAGTTACGCTTGTCTTTCATGTCAGCTCTGTGCAGTTGCGTGACCCACATTGGGTCGCACGTGTTGACCCCTCTGTGCGTTGCAGGAGAAACGGTGGGGGAGGAGCAGACTGCAGTGACCATTGCTGGTGTCCAGCAGGCTGCGTTTGCTGACCATAATGTTCAGTATCAGTTTCGTACAGAGAATAATGGAGGACAGGTGAGTGGGGGGTACTGGGGAGGGGGGCAGGTCTGGGTTCAACAGGGGTTCTTGTAATTGTCATGGTGCTGACTGTGTCCTATGACCTCAGGTGACCTACCGCGTGGTCCAGGTGACAGATGATCAGCTGGAAGCAACAGCTGATGGAACTGGAGCCGTGAGCGTGGTTTCCACAGCAGCGTTCGCCGGCGCTCCTCAGGCCGTGGCTCAGGTCTGTGAAGAAGGATGAAAATGATGCACTCGTCAAACTGTACCACAAGGCATTTCAGTGGTTGACTGTTTTTTTTTACCCCCCCTTCCCCCCCTTTCTCCAGGCTGTTATCCAAAATCCCTTCAGTAACGGCGGCAGCCCTGGCAGTGAAACAGTGGGCGGAGAGACGCGTTTTGCTTATTTCCCCGCCGCTACTGTTAGCGATGGAACGGCCACGGCCGTATCGGTGCAGGCCACCACTGACCCCACGATCACGCAGGCCGGAGGTGAGTCCACAACGATTAGCGAGTCGACCCAGACCTGAGCTGAGCCTCTGGTACTCTTCTCTTGGACTCAGACCTAAAACCAAGACGACTTTTTGACTTTTTTTTTTGGTTTGTCCTCCAACGCAGGTCAGTTTTACGTCATGATGAGCCCCCCCGAGGTGCTGCAGACCACGGCCCCTCGCAACATCGCCCCCCGCACACACACATACACTGCGTGAGTATGACACGACATCATCTCTTCCCCGAAGTAACCCCTCGACCCTAACTCTCACGCAGTTGGTATTCCCACTGTCCGTCCCTGTAACTCCACTGCGGGGGGGTGGAGGGGGGGTCATTGTCTTGTCCATGTTGAGAAACACTCAGCTTCATCATTGTTTAGACTGTGGAACATGCAGAAATGAATACATTCCATCAGTACTACCTCTTATTTGAAAACCACACTCTGTCCCACTTACCTGCCGTCCTCAGGGACCTTGGTGAGAGCGAGATGTTGCAGCACGGCAGTACAAACTGGTGAGACAAACTTTCACATACGCCCCCACCTTGTCTTTGTACAGACTGATGTTTGTTTTGGTGTGATTTTTGTGTTGACCCTCGTCTCGGCCCGACCGCGGGGGCTGTGGGTGTTCCCTCTCCCCGTCCTGGTAGCGCCGGGGGGGGGGGGTGGAGGGGGGGTCATTGTCTTGTCCATGTTGAGAAACACTCAGCTTCATCATTGTTTAGACTGTGGAACATGCAGAAATGAATACATTCCATCAGTACTACCTCTTATTTGAAAACCACACTCTGTCCCACTTACCTGCCGTCCTCAGGGACCTTGGTGAGAGCGAGATGTTGCAGCACGGCAGTACAAACTGGTGAGACAAACTTTCACATACGCCCCCACCTTGTCTTTGTACAGACTGATGTTTGTTTTGGTGTGATTTTTGTGTTGACCCTCGTCAAAAGTTCAAACTGTTCCACACGTAAACGGGAGGAAAACATTCAACAGGGGAACATGTCCACACGGGTCACGTGACAACACGACAAGACGGATTAGAATTTATGAATTAATCAAAGGTCATACATTTCTAAATTCTTTTCAAAATTCTGAAATATATATATATATATTAATTAGGAATTAAACATTTTGTTTGCAAAATCATCAGAAACAGTTGCCTGAGGGGAAAAATAGTATTTTATAGGAGCACTAGAGAATCAAACTAGCACATAGATTATGATAAAAAGGAAAAAAACAATGCAGTTCTCAAATATTATCAGATGAGTCAAGTTATTTCTGCTGTGTCTTAACAGGAAGGTGGAGGGTCCGCGGGCGCCCAGGGACGAGAGGCGACGAGCTCAGCACAACGAAGGTACGTTTGGAGATCAGTTTTAACTGGAGAATTATTCAGTGAAATAAAAAGCGTGGGCCTCGCCCTGAACCTGGTCTCTGTCTTGTCAGTGGAGAGAAGACGACGAGACAAAATCAACAACTGGATCGTTACGCTGTCCAAAATCATCCCCGACTGCAGCGTGGACAGTCGGACTGGAGCAGTGAGTGACAGCAGAGTGTGTAAAAAAAACAAACAAACCACCCACCATTCATCAGTTACTGCTGGTGTTGTGCTGTTAATAACGCCCCCTGTCTGTGGTCCGCCAGAGCAAAGGAAGCATCCTGTACAAGGCCTGCGACTACATCCGGGAGCTGCGTCAGAGCAATCAGCAGCTGCAGGAGAGCTGCAAGGAAGTGGAGCGGGTCAAGATGGACAACGAGCTGCTACGACAGCAGGTTAGAGTGGGCCGCGACCCATACGGTCCAGACCCATCCTGATTGTAATCCTTGTCAGCCCTGTGTTATAGCAGTATTCCTGATGTTCATCGTTCCTCCCCAGATCGAGGAGCTGAAGAACGATAACGCGCTGCTCCGAGCTCAGCTACAGCAGCACGGCGTAGAGATCAACGGTGACGCCACACCGCAGTGACTGTGGACCAGGGGCACGTGTAAAAACTCCACGGCGGTTGCCGCGTCCTCCCTCTTTTCTGAACACTGCGTGGAAAAGAGGAGGAGCGGCGACGAGGGACGAGTTCCTTCTGACTCTGGACCACGGACACCACACACAGCAGCAGGGAACGCTGAAGGACTGCAAACTCAGACCGCCTCATCCACCTACAGCAGAGGAAACTCTTCTCCTCTGAAACCCGTCGGCCGCGTGACCGAGCGAAACGCTCGCCTCCGTGCGGAGGACCTGGACGCCGCAGCACAGAGCCTGCGGCGAACTCTCCTTTTACTCCTTACTTTTAGTTTCCTTGCTTTTTGCTCCCCTTTTATCTCAATACAAACTAAGTTTCTGCCCCTGTTTGGTTGTGACATATTTACTTTGAATTCTTCAGTCTGTACCGAAAAAAGCCAGACTCTGACTTTGCGATGACAGACAAACGCCCCGCTGACCAGGCGATCGTCAGGACCACTGGGGGCGCTGCAGCTGTCGATGGAATGTGTGTATTATACCTATATAAAGTGATATATATAGTTAGAGGTCTACGTAGGGTCGTCTGCCTTCCTAACACTGACACTCCAAGCACTAGGCAGACTTCACACACAGTCAGCAGCTCAAAAACCCCGGCGGCCGCGGCCGTCACAGGTCCTGGCGGTGGTTTTCATGTGGGAGGAGCCTGTCGGAGATCGTTGACGTAGCTCAGGTAAATGGAGGCAGTGCACTAAGTGAAGTCTTCACACGTAGACAGTTCAGGTCTTTGGTGTCCCGTATCAGGTGCAATGTTCCGCGTGAATCTTTTTCTTAAAAAGGGGCATTAAAATATGGTTGGTTTGTGAATGTGCTTGGAGGTCGTCAGTGCCATGCACTGAACCGGAGGTCAGCGGCCTCCGATTGGTCCGATTGTCCTGCTGCGGGTTAGGAGAAACCCGAGGTGTGTTTGTTTCTGTTTGTTTGTTTTGGTTTTGTTTTTTTCCTCCCTCACATTCTTGTCACTTATTTCATAAACACCCGTTGGAAACATGGCTGCTGACGGAAGACCTCAAAAACCACCCGGGGTCAGGGATTGACGGTAACGATGAAGATATTTGTAACTAACCAGTTTTTGTCTACACTGAAAGACTCCACAGCATGGAAATAAAACCACTGACATGACTAACTCTGACGTTTCAATAAAAACTGAAGTGTGAGCCTTGTGTACTACACGGTGTGGAGTCAGTTTAGGTGACGCTAGGTGGCGCTCTGAACATAAAGAGCACATGAACATAAAGGAGACTTTGTAGCTGTTGTTCCTGCACTTAAGTTTTTTAAAAAAAATATTCTTATTGATAAATAAATCAAAGTCAACAACCTACACTTCGGTCGTTAGGAATATCTTATTTATATTACAACAACCTACACTTCGGTCGTTAGGAAATAGTTCTTCGCATCTTATTTTGGAAGGCACCGAAAAAAAGTTATTTTTTGTTTGTTTTTGTTTGCATTTAAAAACAAAAATGCTGACAAAATGCTTCTGTATTGTTAGTTTCTAAATGTACCTCATGATCAGTTCTGGTTTCAAGTGACGTCGCGGAAACTTCAACCGTCGCTGTTGGGACTTTTATTTGTGAAATGGTTTACGTCGTGACGTAACGTCTCCAAGAGACGGCAGAGTATTGCGACGGTTGCTATGGCGCCGATAAACCCGTAGAGACCCACAGCAAGAACGTCTCACCACTGGTAGGTAAAAATAATACAAACAAATTCACTCATAAATGTGAAACCTTAAAACGAGACCTTAATGTTGTTATCGCGGTGTTTTCGTCTGTTTAAACAGCAGCAGCAACGCTTCAGCCAAATACACTTAAATGTGTATTTTAAAAAGTCGATTATTAATATTTATATAATGAAGACAAAATAGTTATTTTTATGTTTATATTTAATTAACGAAATGGTAATTCAGTATAATTAACTTTATTACTAATAAGATATAAACTATATTAGAGTTCTGTGTTTTAACATTACTTTAAGATTTCATCAGGAAATAAAATTAGTGTTAAAATAGAATTTTAAAAATAAATAAAAGCAAAATAAAACATTATCTTTGTATTTATATAACAAGTGAATCTTTATGTATATTAACATATTATTAATATTTATATATTATTATACTTGATCAATCTCCCCCAGAAAAATCAAATAGAATAAATAAAAAAAAAACCTCTGGAGCTGATTTGACACCGCTCCCCCAGAAAAATCAAATAGAATAAATTAAAAAAAACCCTCTGGAGCTGATTTGATGCCGCAGTAACGCTGACTAAGCACTGTTTCTTGTCTGTGTGTCGTTGAAGACGCAGCAGCAGGATGACGTCACTTCCTGCGAAGCCGGGCCTCCGCCTCAGCGTGCCGGAGTGGCGCACCAACAACCAGCAGCTGTCTGACACCGCCCAACACGAGCGCACGGTCTCAAACATCGTCCGGCAGGAGGGGCGGTGCCTGCGCGACGAGACCAACAGCCTGGTGGGTCGGACGGTGCCAAACGGTCACAGGAAGTGCGGGATTCATATTTACCTCAAAGGTCATCCGGTCATTCATTTGTCTCCGCAGACGAGCTGGGACGAGAGGGACACCTCCCGCAGATTAAGTGACCGCATTTGGGACGTGAGTCGATGGAAGGAAGCGCTGGAAGACTGCGCAAAGAAAGTGGACGAGGAGATGGACGCGCTGACCTTGGTGACCCCCTGACCCCACAAATATGTTTAACCAGTTTAAACTTTTTTTTTTCAAAAATAAATAATAATTTCACAAGTTCCTAACACAGGTTCCAGCTTGGCTTCTGTTCTAACCTGCAGTCTCAGTAAAAAGCTTTACGAATGATTGACATCACTACAAGTCAAAGACCACTGGGACGGTGGCCAATCAGATTACAGGAGGGGCAGGTGCTCCTCCATGCCCCCCCACCGTTGTGTGACCTGACCTCTGATCTGTGCTGCAGTGTAAAGAAGAGACGGAGCAGGCGTTAGCAGCCACTGCCACTCCACTAGAGGTCAGCAAAGAGTGTCTGACGCTGAGGGAGGGACGACAAGGTTTGGAGCTGGTCGTCGACCCTGTGCACGAGCAGCTGAAGGAAGAAGTGCAGCTGATCGAGCGAGTGCAGCAGGTTCTGCAGCAGAACATCGACCAGGCCTTTGAACAGCTTTGGTAAAAGAGAAAAAAAAACAGAACATTTGAAATAAAACCATTTTCCTAGATGGTTTTATCTGTTATTGGTGGAACTTTGTTCTCAGTGTTTTACAGGAGGCTCGGCATCAGCTGACCGCCGACATCCAGAACAAGATGGACGCGCTGGACATTGACATGTCCTGTCTGTCTCTTACAACAAAGTCCCCAGAGATTTCCCTGAAGGTCAACCCTACTCGTGTACCAACAGGGTAACGTCAGGCAGAAAAAGACGGTGAAGACGGTCATCACTGCAGGTGTTTGTTTGATAAAACCTCCAAACATTTCTGTTTGTTTTGTTGTTGCAGTACCTCCACCCCCCACGAGTGGGTACAGTTCACTCAGCGCAATATAGCTCGAGCTCAGGAGGCCATGCAGGTGTCTCAGCAAATGAGGGAGGACATGAGTCTGACCAGAGCACAGGTGAGTGTGATGTCATCAACTGACAGCACAGGTGAGTGTGATGTCATCAACTTATGACATCATGTGACTTTTTTTTTTATCACAGCTCAAATCACAGCTTTGGGTGAACTGAAGATTTTTGTTTTGTGCCTCAGCTGCAGAATGAGTTGGAGACTCAGTGCAGAGCCACAGAGTTTGCTCTTCGCAAGCGCAACCACCAGGAGGAGCAAGCGCACGATGAGCTGCAGTGGCAGATTAAGAAAGTAAGACTTCAAATGAGTGGTGAATGTGTGGGGCTCGTGTACTCACTGTAGTATCAGTGAAAGTACTGCTGAGTACTCAGACGGGACCACCTTACTTTTAACATGTACTTTTCATATACTCGACAAATGTGCGTTTGTCTCGTAGACAGAGGACGAAATGCTTGAGATGGAAAATGACATCAAGGACCTGGACGCAGATCTGCGGGCCAAGATGGCCGACCTGAAACTGGCCCACACCAGACTGGAGAACAGGACCTACAGACCGGGCGTGGACCTGTGCAGAGATGAGGTTCACACATGTCAATCATTTCTCAGTCCCAGTCCTTCGCAGCATCAGGGGTCGGAGGTGATGGTCGGTGACGTGGAGAGACGTCTGACTTCCTGTTCATCTGCAGGTGCAGCACGGCCTGGTGTCTGAGGTCCAGCAGCTGGAGGAGACCATCATGGCCCTGAGACAAAAACTGTCTGAGGCTCAGTGAGTGTCCACAGAATCTTCACCTCCTTCGTGGTCCATCTCTTCTAATTCCTCCTCCTCCTCGTCTCCTCCTTCTTCTTCTTCGTTCCACAGACATTCCCTCCAGAGGATGAAGCTCCACCACTACCACATGCTGCAGGATCTCTCCTCCAAGAAGGAGGCCCTGGCCCTGGAACAACGCAGCCTGAGCACACGTTCCTGCCTCAGAACGTTGGGCGACAGCGGGAGAACACGACTGCTGGTGGTTCCACTCGCCAACTCCAGTGGGAGGAGCATCCTGCAGCTGCAGGCAGCGTAACCTCAGTGATGTCACTGGTGTTAGGAAAGAAGAAACAGAAACATTCTTTAACGACTGATTTGATTTGCTGTGACTTCCTTGACGGTGACTTTGTTCGTAGACTTGAAGAGCGTTTGATCGCGTTTGCGTTTGTTTGTCTTTTTGTTATCGTCTTTTTTCAACGTGACGTTTACCTTCAACAGTGTTTCAAATAAATCAACTCTGCTCAGATCATCACTCGTTTCTTTGTATGCATTGCTAACATGGACATCAAGTATATTAGCATTCTGCTAGTGTTAGCAGTTTTTGGTTGCCTTCTAGCTACTATTCGTTGTTCTGTTCTTGCCGTCTGCGTTGGTCTGTTTAAAGTGTAGCTTTTAGGCTAACGTCCCACTAGCTAAGCTGTATGTTTTTCTAAACCTTCAGCTTTCCTTTGGTCAATTTTCACAAATTATTGATTCCCTATTGACATCGATGAATTGTTGCTAACTTTAGCATTCCTCTAATTGTCATTAAAAAAGTCAGTGAACAATGAAACCAATCTACATCTTGGAGAGTTGATCCTCTGCTTGATTAGCAGTTAACCTATTGGTAGCTTATTTGAGTTAAGCAAATACATCGTCAACACTCTGTAAACAGGCGCGGCCATATACCGCCGGTCGACCGATGTTGATCGTGCACTTGTTTTCAAAAGTGGATCAATGGATCCCAAGGACTCGACAGCTGTGTTTCTGAAGTGTCTCACGTCTCTTCCTGGAAAGACATTTCTCCGTAGCCGTCATTCCGCGCTGATGAAATGCCTCTGCAACGATTGGCTGGGATTTGCTGCTCCATTTTCACACCCACTCTCCTCTCACGCTCACTTAAACCTGCAGGAATCACATTCATTCACACACACACACACACACTGTTTAAACAGCCTTAAACCTGCAGGAATCACATTCATTCTCACACACACACACACTGTTTAAACAGTGTTAAAGTGGGCCACACGACACAAACAACTTGTTTCCTTAACCCTAAACCATCATCGGCCGCGGCCTTCAGCAGGTTTATGGCTTTACTGCGGGGTCCTTCACATCATTTGGACTCTCTGGCCCGGCGGCGGGCTGGTCATGTGCTTCCTGACATGCTAAATTATTCTGAATCATTTCACTTAAGAGCCCAGATGCTACCTGTCTGTTACCCTCAGCTGAAAGGGCTATTAAAGCAGCCTGGTGCCGGCTAAATGCCCCCCCCACCGGTTTCTGCATGAGTGGCTGCGTCTCCTTATCCTTATCTCTGTCACCATGCCGTAGGCACCGCGCCCACCTCGTGGCCACTCGTAACAGCACCACCGCGGCCAACGCCTCCTTCATTCCCTCCGTCACCTTTTGCTTCTTCTGTCGGTCGTTTTTTAAACACGATGGAGCGACGAGCAGAGGAGACGGGGAAAGTCAAGGGTTGTTCCGTTTTTCTGGAGTGGTTTTTACGATTTTTCAAGGGAAGAGTTGCAAACCTTTTTCTGGTTTGACTTCCCATGTTGATCAGCGCCTGGACAAACTGAAGCGATGCTGGTGAGGGACTGCGTCGTCATCGTCATCTACGTTTTCACCTTTCTCCTGGGACTTCCAGCCAACCTGCTGGTCCTCTTTGTGTACGTCCGCAAGGCCCGCAAACGCGGCGCCACACCCAACGTGGTCTACGCCCTCAACCTGTGCCTGGCCAACCTGGCCCTGGTTGCTTGGTTACCGGTGAAAGCTCTGGAGACCTTGCTCCGGGACTGGAGGCTGCCACCGCTGGTATGTCCCATCTACAGCTTCTTCCTCTTCTCCTCCCTCTACGGCAGCTGCCTCTTCCTCACCGCAGTGACTGTTGGACGTTATCTCAGCATCGAGTTCCCCATCATTTACAAGAGGTACCGCCGCGCTCGCATCTCCTGCTTCATCAGCGTGGCCCTGTGGTTGGTGGTACAGATCCACCTCAGTATCGGCCTGGTGGCAGAAGGTGGCGCTCACTTTGTGTCTGTCAGGAACGAAACCTTGGCCTGCTACGACGACTTCACTCCGGCCCAGCTGGCCGTTCTGCTGCCTCTGCGTCTGGAGATGGCCACCGTCCTCTTTCTCTTTCCTCTGACGGTGGCCTCCTTTTGCACCCTGCGCTGTGTGACCCTGGTGTGGCGCTCACGTTTGCCCCTCATGGGGAAGAGAAGGGTCCTCGCCGTCGCTCTCTCTACTCTCGCGGTGTTTGTGGTTTGCTACGCACCGTACAACGCCCCGCCCATCGTCGGGGTCGGACGTGGAGTGGAGGACGTACTCTATGATAACGAGCTCTTTTAACGTTTTTCTAGAACCTGTGGTCATGATGATGTTGTCACCGGCAGTGTCCCGGGGCATCATGGGAAGGATGTGTGGACGGCAGGGTCCCTTCGGCCGGAATGAAGGGGTTCGGAGACGATGCAATACCACCAACGGAGTTGCCAACGTCAGGTCACCAGCTACAGTGTCTGAGAGAAGCCAGGTGGGGGCAGCAGAGGTGACGAGAATTAGTCAAGAGTGAATTCAGATTGGTTGCTGTTTTGGTTGTGTTTGTGAGACAAAGCAAGCTGAAATCCACTAAGGACAAGGACTTTCAAACCTAAATCTACGCCTGGTGGAGTTTACAACATATTAAGAAAACGTTTTGTTTTGTTTTTCCTTTTTAAATTCTGTAAACATTCTACTTTCCTGTACCAAACCCCATTAAGAAAATCATTGTTTTAGCTCATCAGTTGATGGTCGTTTGCTGCCTCCTCTGGTGAGATTGTGTCACTAAAATGGGACTGATTGAATAATTTAAATGTACAGGCGGAGGCAGCAGTGGGAGGATCACTGTCCTATGATGTTAAACCATAGACTGGATGTTTATATTTTAGACCTGTTTCGAGTGGGAACGAGTGAAAAAATGTTCAGAAACGATGACAAACGTGTCCCACGTGTGCCTTCATGTCTACACTTGTTATTGTAATCCAATTGGATTTGATTATCCTCCTCCTCCCACCCCCGCTGATAGACTAACAAATTACCCAGATATCATCTCAGCACATTGTTGACAGAAGCCGTTTTTAACCCTGACAACACCAGCATTATCTGCTGTGTTGTTTTCTCTGGTGAAAAAAAAAAACCCAAACAGTTGAGTTCATTTTTTTCCCTTTGTTTATGTTCTCTTCCAATATCTACTAGAGGGAAAAGCAGCTGTATAGCAACCTGCTGACGTCAATGTGATTATAATGTAAAATGTCGCCATCTGGTGACCATAATTAAATACTCTCAACGTTTTTTCTTCAGGGGAATCTGATAAAGACTGTAACGGTTTGTTGCCGAAGTAAACAAATGACACTACAATAAAAATTGATTTATTACTATTTTTTAGTCGTCTATATTTACAATAATTATAAATTAATTCACACAACAGCGGCGTTTTCACCCTCTACGTTTAGGAACGTATACGTCCAGGAACGTTCTAGAACGTTTCCTGGAATAATGTATTAAACGTCGCAATTATCGAGTTCAACATTTCGTGGCTAACTTTGAGATATCCTGTGGTTATTTCTTCAGCTAATTTAAGATTATTTGCTACATCTTTTTTATGTTTTTTTTTCCAGTTGTTTTTGGTTTTAATTCGTGTTTGCTAATTATTAGCTTTCGGGCTAAATTCGATTTGACCATCATTAAACTAACAACGTTTTGTGGAGTCAGTCTGTTATACTTTACTTACAACATATATGCTCCATACGGGCACTCACCTGGACGAGCTGCTGCTGATGAACTGATTCCCCACGGGATTAGCTGTAGTTTATGGCCCGGAGAACTTTAACTCACTGTAGACAATAAATAAATAAATAAATAAAAATAACAAAAAATAATTAAAATATAGAGTATATATATATATATAAAACAGTCACTGATAAGGCAGAGGTCACTGTATGACCTGGTAGCATCACACAGTGGTGGCAGATGCTCCTGCTCCACATACATGATGATCCACAATCTTTCTGGTTCAACCACAACCAAAAGACATTCTGTTGGACTGAGACCTGGTCTCTCCTGGAGCTCATTTAAGTCCTGTGAACTTGTCTGTATGTCCCAGGTAAGCTAAGTTACCTGTCACTCGCAGCCCACATCTGGCCCACATCTGGCACACACTGGGTATCAATAATAATATAATTATTTTTCTCTCTCTCTCTCTCTACTTTGGTGATCTTCGGGTTTCATATTTTTGCTCGGCGTGTATCACGGTGGTGACGCTGCAGCGTTTGTGATGTTGCTTGGAGATGATGTTTGAAGAGCGCAGGGAGGGAAAAAAAAAAAACGCTTATCAAATTTCCAGAAGAGGAGATGAGATAGCTGCTCCTCTGTGTACCACAGGATTCATATTGAGCAGCATCAGTAGGAGGAGGTCAAAGAGTCTGCTCCCAGGAGGAGACGCTGACGAGGGATGAAGAGCCTGGAGTGCCACGTTTGACAGAGGTGAGAGTTTCTCACATCACTTTAACATTTTTAAACTTCAGCTCCCAGCTTCTACCGAGTAAGAAATTTGAAGAAAAAAGTTTCTATTATGGACATTTTCAAAAAGAAAAGTCAAGGGAATTCTGATTCTGTTAAGAAACAATTTTTTAGCTCAGTAAATTCTGATGTGATTTAATTTTTAAAAAACCTGTCGATGTTCTCCACAAGAGGTCGTCCTTGAGGTAAAAATTTGTTCCAAAATATGCCGTTTAACTCAACAAATTGACATGTACTGCTGGCTAGCATTGTTGTTTCCAACATTTCCTTTTTTTTTTGACTCAGTGACTCAGTTCCCGCCGCCATCGGCCGCCATGTTTTACAGTGACCTGTTGCTCGCCGTTTACATCATCACCTTCTTACTGGGATTTCCTTCCAACATCCTGGCTTTCTGCACCTTCTGCCGTAAAGTGCACCGCAAGCCGACGCCCATAGACATCCTCCTCCTCAACCTGACCATCTCCGACCTCATCTTCCTCATTTTCCTGCCTTTTAAAATGAAGGAGGCCAGGGACAACATGCTGTGGCTCATGGACTTCCCCCTCTGCCCCTTCACCACGTTTCTCTTCTTCGTCACCATCTACAACAGCACGCTGCTCCTGACGGCCGTGAGCGTGGAGCGCTACCTGGGCGTAGCCTACCCCCTCAGGTACTCGCTTTGGCGCAGGCCTCGCTACGCCGTCCTGGCCAGCATCAGTATCTGGCTGGTGACCAGTCTGAACCTCAGCATTGTCTACATCATGCCGTACCTTCAGTGGGGCAGCAACAACAGCAACAACAGCAACAACAACAACAACAGCAGCAGCAGCAACAGCAGCAGCAGCAGCAACAGCAGCAGCAGCAGCAGCGGCCCGCGGCCGCCTCCACACCACCGCTACCGAACCCTAACCGGGAAGGAGAGGGGCACCTCACAAACACCCCGCCTG